TATATATATATTATGGTAAAAATGGTACTTATTCTGTTTACTTTTCATAAAACTAATTTGGCCTTTTAACTTTTAAGATATGAATTTTAGATGAAAATTTAACAACCTTTGTGAACATGTCAAATAATGATAAAATATTGGTGATTATAACATTTAAGTTTTGATTCAAAACATGTCTAATTTAGATAATGGAAGAGAGAGAGAGAATTATGGGTGGATAAGGGGAGAAAAAATAATAGTAATTTAACAAACAAATTTATTAATATAGAAAGAGAAACTATGAGGTAAATATAGATGGATTGATAATATAATGATAAAATATGTAAAGGTAAGTTAGCAAATGATGTATAGGTAATTAAATGAAAAGGCACTAAGGGAATAATACTAATGAGTTATATTTTTTATGTTTTGACTTAAAATCTTCTAATATGAGCATTAGAAAAAGAAGAGACAAATTTAGGTAAAAAAAAAGAGAGAGGATATATATAGTAACAATTATAACTTTGTTATTTTACAATTTAAATTATAAAATAAGGATATTTACTTGGGTTGAGGCCCCAATATTAGGGGGTTCATCCCTCGTCCAAGAATCAAGGTTTTATCGTTCGAATGGAACTGTAAAGCTTCAAATAATTATGCATGCAAAGATTATTCCGGCACACGGTCGACCGGAGTTACACCAAACAACACGAAACATCTGCAGATTAATTTGCAATAACAGGTCCAGAACGAGGTTTTTTTGTGCCCCACTTTGCAATAGCAGAACGAGGTCTTCTGGCGCCCCACCCCTCGCGGGATATTAAGTTATCAGGAACTCTTCGGGACTCTTTAACAGCAGCCCTTCTACCAACAGAGGACAAGTTATCAGGCTCCCGAGCCTCTGGGAGAATCGGAAATGTGCGAATATTGACTGCCGGTGCTGCTTGCATTGCAAGGAGTGTTGCTGCTGCTTCTGCTTCCTGATCCGTCCCTTCTGCTTGCATTGCAAGGAGATTATTTCTTTTTTCGGCTCTGAGATCTTATGGTATGGT